AAGGTGTGTGAGATAGGTGGCATAGTAGAAGTTGTGAGTGAGTGAGTCTAAGGAGTATTTTTGGAGAAGAATGATTGACTGTATTATGCTCTTGGAATCACTTAAGGAGTTTACATTCATAGTATCTATTACCCAGTTTGAGTGTCATAATGAAACCATTCTGGAAAATTTGTGAGCAGAGGTATATAATGTTTTGCAGTTTCTTGTTTGTGGACCTCTGGATGCTAGTTTAGGCATGGGTGAGGGTGTATCAATTAGCTACTGTATAGAAAACTAATGAACCAACATCAAGTTCTTTAAGTTTAGGAAAATAGTGATGCTGAACAGTTATCTTGTTCTTGTAAGTGTTCATCAGCTGGGTAGATTGCAAGTGAATGAAAGTTTAACTAAGGCAAGAGCAGGTTATTGATCTAGGAGCTCATGTCATACAGCAATCTTCACTATGCAGTATTGTGAGGCATATGCATAGTGAGTATAATTTGTGACATCTGTGTAGTAGGAGTCCAATGCCTAATTCAATTCATGGGTGTAGTGTAGTACTAGGCCAGGATGGAGTAGTTCTATAATATTTGGTGATATTCTTTCCCTGTGAAAGTTTTCAGTGTCAAGTTGGACTGGAACATAGCATTGTTGAATTTAGTGTCATTTTCTGGTACAATTTTTGTGTTTGTTGAAAAATGTACTTTCAAGATATGCCCAACTCTCATTGGTTGGTACTGCATTTGAATTGTATGTCTAGCAACACTGATGCAGACCGTAAGTTACTTTGAAATGTAACAACAGGTTTATACATATACTACATATCTGCTAGTTTTAGATGTGGTAATCAGGTTACATGGAAAATATTGATGTGAAGCAATGTATTTCTGCGTCTTTTTTTCTAATGATATTGATGAAATAGTGTGTTACACACTGTCTCTTAATAGTTGTGTGCATTTTCAGGAAATCGTCCATGGGTGTGTAGTGTTTGTGGTCGCTCATATGTCACAAAGTATAAACTAAGAGCACACATGAAATCACACACAGGAGAATTAGTGTGCTCTGTTTGCGGACGACAGTTCACCTCACAGGTAACCTCCATATTTGTAAAATATCTTGCTAAGCATGATTGTGATGCTCCTTACTATATTGAGCCAAAACCATAGTGTCACTACTCAGACTTACCTCTACTCTCTGAGCCAAATCCAGGCACCAATCCTCCCCTGGTTACACTGGGCTAATCTGCTTCCATGTTGACTTCATTGCATGATGTGATGAGAGAGATAACAATCAAGTCAGCGATGAATCATTTGACCATCCTAGCCAATTAATGTACAGAAAGGCTTCTCTTCCACTCGTGCAAACTCTTGTCTCCCATCAGTTTTGTTGGTCTACATCAGCTCTTTTACTCTTCTTAAATGATTTTTGTGCTCTGAGGTTGATTGAAGGTAAAGAGAGATTACCTAAATGCAGTCTGTTTCTTCACTATTCTTTAGGATATATACATTTCTCCACTGTTACTTGGGTTTAGATTTCAGCTAAAGAAAAACATTGACCAACCAGTTTCAATCACCATCTGTCTCACATTTCATTTCAGCAGGGAGTGTTATAGTTTATTTTGTTACCTGTTAAGTAATAACAATGAGGTATTACCGATTCATTTGTAAATAAGAAAAAGTGTTTTGTACCTGAATCATTACTGCCCTTTTTTTCTTTTTTAATTTATTGTTTTTGTTTTTCTTTACCGCAACATATTGCAGTTGCACATTTATCTTTTTTAAACAGGACTCTCTAGGACGCCATCAGAGACTTCATGAGGGTTCCGGAAAGAACTCTGTGCTACCTACTTGCCATATTTGCAACAAGAAGTGTGCTACACCAAGTCTTCTTAAAAGACATGTTGCAGTAAGTAGTTTAAAAGATAAAATATGAGTAGTTATATCTTCATAAGTATTTGCTAAGAAAAGAAAAAATAAAGTTGCAATAATTTGAGGCAAGTAGAATGAATATATAAATGTTTTTGGTTTTCTTCATCAATGCATAGTAATTAAGACAGCTGTCACCTGCCATAGACATAATGTTGAATTTCAAACTGTTTCCCAGATTTTATTTCTGGGGTGAATTAATTCATATATAATTTGTAAAAACTTTTTTTTTTTTTATTGAACCTATGCAACCTTATTATCAATATGAGCCTTAGTGTTTTAATTATGGCCTCCCAAAAAGTCCTTTTTCAGTGGATTGAAATTTCTCATTTTAAGAAAATTTCTTTGTATATATACAATATTATGACTAAGAAAAAATCTATGTTTCAATCATTCCACATCTCCATTTTCAAGTAAATCAGTGAAAACTGTTGGAGCTTGACCAATTTCAAGATGAAAAATAAATACTACTTGGCTAAGAGATGCATAACATTCTAAGACTGAGGGGAATACATGATTTGTGATAAGAGTCAGAAGTAGTAACTGTTCTATTTTAGTTTTGTAATAAATATCAAATATTAATGAATTACACAGAAATGGCTTTATTCATCAATGATCTGACGCGGTCGGTCAATTACATGTCACCCCTGTGAGTGGGGGCATAAATTGTTATATAACCCCAATATTTATTATTAGTTTGTAAAGAAAATTCAGGACATGATATCTGAAGCCCATGGTTAGACAAAACCAAAACATATCCTTGAAAAACTGAAAAAATATTAGTGAAAAATACAGGGTAACTGGTACCTTAAGCTTTACTAAACATGCTTTTTTCAGAGTCATGAGCGGCACAACTTTAAATGTTCCATATGTGGACAAGACTTTGCCAACCATCAACAACTGACTGCTCACCAGAATAAACACCATCAGTCAGCTGTTCCTGCTCTCCATAGATGTCACTTGTGCAACAAGTCCTTTGTTAAAGAAGCCGACCTCAATCGCCACATAACGACTCACAGCAGTCCAGCCTTCCACCAGCAAAATACTACACAGTCTCTTCCAACAACACAGATAAAAAATTGTGAGAGTGAGGCAGCCAACAGTCGCATCAGTCAGGGCATGGGAACTCTAAGACAGTCTAATACAGCATGCTTCTTGGCAGGAAAGAAGTCCGAGCTCTTCCCCCAAACTCAGACCCCCACACAAATGAATAATAGCCTCCCTCAGGCTCCTTGTGGGAACAACAGCTACCTCGGAGGGTTATCACAGACTCCTCAGCAGCAGCACTCACACCACCTTCAGAGTGCACAGCTACATCCAGTAACAGTCAACCAGACCTCACAGCAGCAGCAATTGATGGCCAACACTAGTACCAACACCCAAGCATCAAGTCTCCAAGCTCCAGTCTTCTTGGCTAGTGTGTCCTATGATCCAGAAATCCTGGGTGCTAGTTTGCAAGAGACAGCTTATCAGCAGCCACAAGGCCAGGAGTAAAATTTTGAAAGAAATATTCTTTCTATAAGTATAATCAACTTCCTGAAGACTGTGATCATTCCTTTCAGTTTGGAGTTCATTTGTATATATTTGAAAATAATGGGAATGCTGCTTTTTCACCTTATAAATTATACACAGATTCAGTAATCATTATATGTTAATAAATAATTTAAATGTTTTTTTTTTTTTTTTTTTTTTTTTTTTTTTACTTCCAGCCAAACTATACCTGTTATTATATCAGACATATGTTAAAAATATATCAACAAGATTTTAAAATAGCTTCTGACTACTCTACCTTGTTATTTGATGCAAATTGCTAAATTATATTTATCCAATATTGATTTAAAAAACAACATTAAATCATGTTTGGAATAACATGAATTCTATAACCAAAGGAATCTCTAAGTAATCCTTATATGGAAGTCACTGATAGGATAAATACTTGAAAATACAAAATATACATATATTTTTATGCAGACTAATAGCAATCATTGTAATGGTACAACAATATATATATATATATATATATATATATATATATTATATATATATATATATATATATATATATATATATATATATATATATATATATATATATATATATATATATATATATATATATATATATATATATATATTATATATATATATATATATATATATATATATATATATATGCAACACCAAAAAATCAGTTGATGTTATTTAACATAAAACATGAGAAATACAAAAATATTACTGTGTCAACAATCAACCAAAGTTTTTGCAGAATCATTCCAGGAAATATATGAACATGCTAAGTATCTTTAAAACATAAGCCAAATGAATATACACAGTAAAAACAGTCATTTACAACTAAGGCAAGTAAGTAATATGAAATAAAAGTATTCCACACATATATAGGAAAATTAGCTAAAACATTACAGTAATGACTTCTTATCACTACCATTTGCTACAAATGAGAGGCAGTATGTGTATTTCTCTGTTCATTTATACCTGGATCTACATCACAGCTAAAAAAGCTTAAAAATTTTACTTATTTAGTTCTTTCAGTGCCTTCTGCATAGAAAAAAATGGAAATTAACTACCAATTTATATTCCTTTTCTGCATCATAGTTAATACAAAAATGTCATATTTAAAAAAATCATGCATATCTATGCAAGACTGCTTGATAAGAAAATATTTATAAATTGCAATCCACAGAGACATTTGTTTCTGGGAGAGATAGCCACATTTAGCACAAGAAAAATAAAGGTTTTGGTGGATTATACATACTTCTTTTGATTCTTTATCTGTCAAATAAAAAGAAAATCTTTGTCAAACATTTTTATAAATACTGAACACGTGATAGTTTGTTTCACTTCAAAATTTGAGGTTATATTTCAATAGGTTTGAGTAGCTGCTGCTATATTAACTCGTTATTTATGTAGATGTATATTACTATGAACTAAAACTAATAACAAAAGCTGTGTTCTGTGAAAAAGAAAGAAAGAGTGAAAGAATAAAGAAGTGCCACTCCAAGTTCACACTCTCCAGTTCTCTTATTCTTCTTATTACTGTCTTATAACAACCTTATATAAAGGAAAAAACAAAAGAATATTTTCTTCTATCACAACAATTTTAATTTTCCTGTCACTTCATTTACAGCCTCTTCATCACCAAATATGGCCAAAACAGTGGTAGAGCCAGCAGGTATTTGAGTCATGCCAGCATCCTGCACCAAATATGTTGGTAGATGAAGAGATTCTGCCTTCTTTTGCAACTCAATGAGTTCCTGGGAATTTTTGCCTCTTACAGTTATCTTCCTCTCTCTGAAAATAAATTGGCCCAAAAAATATGAAGGGGGAAGTATATACATAATGCAACTGAAGTTTCCTATTTCTAAACAACCAAATCAGCAATTTACATATAAATAAATTGGCC